TTCATTTCATAGTAATAAAAAATTATATGTCAAACAATGTTTTTATTCTTTTAAATTAAACCCCATTTAAATAATTTTTTATAATCAAATATAGGTTTAAGATTTTAAATACATTAAAATAATTTATTAAACTCAATGTAAATTAGATTTAAAATTAACTTTATTATTTTATTTAATATAATTATTTAGATAAATTATTTTTATAAAAACAAAAAAAAAATCTCATTATGGTATACAATATTAATGTTTCGATTTATTAAATAAATCATTTTTATTTTTCATTTTATTAAAATTCAAAATTCGTACTTTAAATGAATAGGAGCCGTCCCTTGTAAAAATTTAGATTATAATTTCTTATTTTATTTGATTGAATGGAATGATCATTCTGTTCATTGTCTTTTCGAGTTTATTATAAATGCAATTTTATTAAATAGTTTAGTTCATTATAAATTTTATTATATGATATATTTAAATAAATTAAAATAATATTAATTTTGATATATTAATTAAATTATTAATGTTATAATTTACTAATATAAATGATAATAATATTATTATAAATAAATAATTAAATATAATAAAAAATAATATATTTCTAAAAATATTTTTATATTAAAAGGATTAAAATATTTTTAAAAAACTATAAATATCTAAAAAATTTAAAATATTTTTATATTATAGAGACTAAATTTTAAATATCATATAAGTATAGCGATTAAATTTTAAATTTTGTGTGAATATATGAATTAAATTTTTGTTTGAGTATAAAAATAATTTTTATAATTTAATAATTTATTTTATTCATTTAAATTATCACGTCAACAAGTCAATGATCACGTTAATATTTTTAACAAAAAAATTAATAGAATTAATAATTTGATTAAGATTATCAAATTAAAATAATACAGGAGTTAAATTTATATGAATTATAATATATAGATTAAATTTTAAATTTTCATAAAGAATAAAAACCTTTGACATAATTTAACCTATTATTTTTAATAATTTGATAAGTATAAAAAGTTTATGATTAGACATTTAAATTTTATTTTTTAAGTATTTTATACTGCTGATTAATACTATTAATTAAAATGTTTGTATAATAAATATTGATCAATAAAAATATATCATATATTATAATATTATTAATTATTTTTAATCATATTAACTCATTGTTAACAGAATTAATATATAAAATAAAATATTTAACGAAAATAAAATTTGAATATATAATCATAATTTTTTTATAAAATATTAAATTGTAAAAAATTTATAATTCAAAAGCTAAATTATGAATAATCCTTTTCATTTTCTTCTAGATTTGGGGAAACATGTGAAAGGGCTCGGTGCCTACTTTTGACCCAACAGAAGGGTCGGTCAAGTTTGGGGGCCGCTTGTTTTGATTTTTCGTTTGAAGGGTTATTGTCAAATCATCTTCTTTGTTTTCCTTTGGGGTCAAAATTTGATTATGCTTTCAACTCAAACAAAGTGCTATCATCCGTCTTCCGCAACTAATAATTAAATTAAATATTTTTATATTTAAAATTATCAAAATTTAATCACTGATCACTAATTAAAAATTAATATTGATAAATGTTTATTTTATCTTTTATGAAAAATAAAAATCATCAAATTTTTTTATATACTACTCCTTATAACAAACAAATCAATATTGACTTTTGACTAACTTTTGATTAAAATAATTGAGAACCTAAACAAGGAAAAAAAATAAAAACAAAAAAAGAAATATTTGTCTTGTAATATTTTATTTTTGGAAATAATTTTATTTTTTGAACATGTGGAAATCAATGATTAAAAAAATAAATAAAAATTTTTTTTTGCTTAACTTGATCGCTGACGATAAATGGGCAGGGCAGCGGCGGTGGATAATGGGAGCCAGGAGGCCTTGGCCCCCAACATTTTAAAAAACCCCTTACTACTATATATATTTATATTAAATACACTTAAATTTTAAATTAAAATTATGATTTTTTTTGTGATTTCATTACCTAATCAATGCATTACAATTTAAGAGGTATTTAAATTATATTAATATTTATATGTTTATTGTACTCAAATATTATTATTTACAAATTTTTAAAATTAAAAGGAGTATCATAAATTTTAAATCACAATCATGTAAATTTAATATAAATTAAAATGAATTTTTAATTTTTTCTATAAGATATTAAATTTTCCAACAAAAAAATTTATATTGAACTACTTTATAAAAGGATAAAAAAATTATAATTTTTAATTTCAAAATTTCATCATATTTTTTTAATAGTATAGATAATTTTCTTGTTTGATAATATGTTTAATAATTAATTTATTCGTGTCTCTTTTTATTTCAATTTTAAATTATCAAAAAATAAAAAAATTACTATAATTCATTGATAAATTGTGTAATTAATAATTCTACCATTAATTGTAAATTTTGTTATTATTAAAAATATAACATTATCATGACAATATTTTTGGTTTATAATTTTACGAATCCGTCATGTTTTTATTAATATGTTATCTGCATTAATAAGTATGGTAGAATATTTATAAAAAAAAAAGTATATTTTATATCATTAGTTAATCTTTCCAAAATTAAATATCAACATCTATCACTGAACTAAGGCTGTAATCCGCAATCCTTGCTCAAGTCCCGACACCAACGACACTTGGAATCAGATAGAAATCTCATATAGCTAATCTGTAGTCATCCTATCCAGTTCCGTGGATCTAAAAGAATCGAAGCCGATGTTAGCTTTTTCATCTCTGAATCACCTGATGGTCTTGGCCACGCATTCTCTTGTACAGTCTGATCACAGAAATACATCTTCATATGAATCGTGAATGCCTGACTGGATGGATATCATACCTGTAGTAAACAATACACCATGATGCTACAGAAAGGAGTAAAAAGAAATTGAAGATAGACAGAGCAGTAGCAACAAATTTCTTTAATCCAAAATGTTATAATGTAGTATCCTGAAATAGTATCTTAACTAGATATGTTTTCGTGAAGTGCTTCAGTAAGTGGCTAAGAAGATTTGTTTTCATCAATGGACGGTATTTTGTATTGTCCCTGCACAATACAAAAGCCTGTGTAAGGGACGACATTTCTGCTCAGCATGTTTATCTTAATCAGGTTAAAGATCAGAGAAAAAGGGCAGGAAAGGGGTGGGGTTGTTGAGAGAATTCCATGTCAAATCATGTAGTGAAAGCAGGTTAATTTTGTACTAATGTGTTGGCATTAATATTAGGATATGTTTCACCTAGAAGCAAACTAAGTTATGCCAGCGGGTGAGCCAGGAAACAAAAGAAATACAGAACATAGGGTTTCATTAAAAATTACAGACACCATTTTCAGCAGATTCATTTCTCAACAAGGGATTTAGATGGGCTTCCTGCGTTGATAGCCATTAAAATAGTTCAATATACCTCAGCAGATGGCCAGGATAATTCATTCTCAAGCAGTCCAAATCGTGCTGAATGCCATGACCCACGAGAAAAGCATCCAATACTCAAATATTGACAGTTTCAGCTACCAAATGCCAAGGAAAAAAGAACAAAATTAAACTAGTATTATATGATATGTTCTTGCTGGAGAATAACATAGAAAATCACTCCCACAATAATCAATGAAGTAATTCAAGTTTACAGCAGCTCACATTATGCTGCAAGCATTAACATTATCATCACGAAATGAGTGAAAAGCAGAGTTGCCTATTGGTGGTTCCTTCTGCTTATAGAAATCATAAGGATATGGCCGCTGAGGCTTTATTATGCGGTAAGGTGGTAAGTAGGGGCAAACTGCTGGTGTGGTATATGATGGCGATGGAAGAGGCGGAGGTGGTGGTGGTAGTGGTGGCAGTAGTGGGGGCAGTGGCAGCCTCGCATATCCTGGCCGAGGTCCTCCAAAATTGCCAAACATTCCTGGTTCAAAAGTACTCTTATTTCCAAACCAACCAGCAAAGCAATGTTTCTTCTTGTTCATGCCAGATTGCGGGTGATTCCAAGAAAGTGTGCCTTCGGGACACCAATAGGTAATTCCAAGAAATTAACAATAGGTAATGCATACCGGGACATTCAGACCATCTCCCAACGGAACCAATACAACATTAAGAAAAGGGAGAAAAATGATTGATGGGATTAGAGGAAATGAACGGTACGTGTGCCTTCAAGTGTGTTGTTGGCTATTTGAAAGAAAATCTCCATGATTTTTTCCTTTCTTTTTGGCCAGAAAATCTTGATGCTTTACTCAGCTCCTGAAATAGAAATAATTAAAGCCTAAACGTTTTGTACAATAGAGAAAAATAGGGTAACTGACGTCCCATTTCAAGAAAGAAAAAATTTACATTGAAATCAGGTTTGATTGCCTTGAATATGATCATTTCTAACGCATAGAGAGATTTTCCAAACTGAAATTAGGGATTCGGGGATCATAAGTTTTTTTTTTGGCCGTTATATACGGGATCATATGTTTGACAGAATAAATCAACAAAAATTTATTGAATCAATTATTACCAATCGTTGAGAAAGGTATGGGTATCCTAAGAAAGATATATAGGAAATCAGGAATGATAATAAGTAGGCTAAAATATTTAAAAAGTTTTTAAATTATTTATTTTTGAAAATAAATTCATTATATTTTTAATGTATCCAAATAAGTTTTTATTTTTTTTATTTATATCTATAAATAAGCGCTTATTTTAAACAAAAATTTTTTTTTTATGTACAAATTAAAAGATAAAAATTTATTTTGATACAAATCAAAATTTAAAAACTCATTTAAATACAAATTAAAGATCAAAAGCTTTTTTTTTTTTTTGGTCTATGTACAACTTAAAGAATAAAAACTTATTTTGATACAAATCAAAATTTAAAAATTTATTTGGATATAAATTAAAAATAAAAAAATATATTATTTTTTAATCCATTAGATAAGGAATAGGAAATAAAATTGATGAAGTTAAAACTCCCATCTTAAATGTCTTCCTAAAGCTTCTCAACCATTAAGCGAAGCTGAAAACAATTAAAGTATGAGTTTATTTAAGTAAATTGATGAAGTTAAAGGATTTTTTGTTGTTTTAGTTTAATAAGTATTAGTAAATAGTAATAAACAAGGAATATATTCTGAAAAAAAAAGGGACAAACACCCTTGCTACACGAACTTGGCACAGCCGACCACGGCCTATACTCCAGGCGTCATCGTCAGAATTCATACTCAACAATGGACGTTTCACAGCATCTTAACTGGCCACCAGCATTGTACACGCGTCTTCAGGAAGGAAATATTCTTTCAGGAAATAAAATTTGTTGAAACACAAACCAACATCAATTTGTCTACATTAACGCAAAGAGGGATCGGTCTTCATTAACTTGTCACCGTCTTTGCTTAATTCAGAAACAATTTGAAGCAAAAGTATCTAAATCAGGTGTTGATTAAAGTACATTGAATTTGTCAACAAATGCTTTTCAGCCTCCCCGAGCCTCTCTTCTTGTGGCATCATGAAGCAATTCAATATCAACTCCATCAGGAGGTAGCTGGACATATCTCACAACCGAGCCTCTGATAAAACAGTTCCTCACTGAAAGCTGTAACCAAACAGAAGCTCATCAATTCTGCCGATGAAAATTGAAAAGAGAAAAACAAAAATAAAGACGTGACACAAGCAGTGACATCAAGCCCAAAGGATGTGAAGAAACTGAAAAAAAGGCTAGTCTAGTTGAGAATGAGACGGCCAATGGTACAACAAGAGCCAAACTAAGACACATGCTATGGGTATGGGGTGACAGGACTCTAAGACCTGATGATACTTTTAGGATAACTTCAAAAACCAGTAGGGGAATGCATGTCTTGGATCTAATGTATGAATTTAAAGATAAAAGAGAAATGGAAGAACTGATAGCACATTAGGAGAGGATGAAGGAACCAACTTTATGCAAAGTTAAGAAACCCCATACAGCCGCAATAGAGTGCCTCAAAGCTCTACCAATCTTTGACTCAAAAAGTTAACAGATCATTGCAAGCACGAAATTAGTTTCGCTTCCCAAAACTCTTGACCAAAAATATATTTCACACTAAAACTGGGACTTCCATTTTAAATTCACATGTGGATCACTCCATCTAAGGGCCCAGGAGCCAAACCCTATTCAAAGCAAGCAATCATCAATTGTCAACATGAAATGACTTAAAGCAGACATAAACCAAAAGAGAAACATGAAGTTTCAAAACACATATATTTGGAAAAAGCGGGCACTTGCAGATTGACATCAGATTTGGCACACATATACACTCTCCAAGATCACTGTAATTGCAGCACACTTTTAATGAGGTAAAAGGTTACAGGTTTGGCTGGATCCAATACAAACCCATACTTCATAGGTCATAGCACCAAACAAGTTGGATTGCGTTGCTACTCTTCTCTTAAGCAGCTTAAAATGTATATAGCCTTGTTTGAATAGGCTCTCCTGCCTGCCTCTTCTAGGCAACACCAATTACCATACAGATTTTACATTTAGCTGAATCCAATGCCAAAGATTAGGATGAGATTCTTTCAGGTGAGGCATAATACTAGGAATGTTCATCCAGCTTCAATAATCCTATGTGCCAAATGCAAGACCATGTATCATCATGCTCATATTGAAAATGCATTTTCTGTAGTACAAAACACGATGTTCCTGAATCCACTTTTTGACTGTTGCTCAATAAGACATTAAAGTAAACTACTTGAAAATTTTCATCTACACATAAAACCCTAGAGCATAAATTAGTCATCGACATATCACAAGGCAGAGAAATACCATTCATGCAAAGAAAAATAGTAAAAAGAGAAAGACAACAATAGGAGTGAATTTTACCAGAGGTGAAGGAGAACATGAATTTCAAATGCAAAGAAGAAATGCTGAAGAATGGATGATAACTAAACTAAAATGAGAAGTTTTTGGACTTTGGGGTTTTGAAAAAAAAAAACATTGTTGGACTCATCACTGCTATAGGAGAAATAAAACAATGGGAAATACTAGTTAACTGAGGATTTATGAAGTAGCTACATTGGAAAAGCATAGAATAGTACATATTCAGCATAAAATCAGAAAGAAAAGGAGAAAATCTATATAAAATGCGCAAGGGATGGCAGCGTGTACAAAAAACTTGATAAGCCCCAAATTCAGCTTCCCACATTCTCATAATTACCCAGAAAGAAGAAAAACAGCAGATTGGAGTGAAAGACAAAGTAGGGACTTAGAAGACCCAATTCATCTCTTCCGAATAATGAAGCACCAGAAAACCCTAGATTTCTAGACACCTGAGTTTAAAGCAATTCATTGATAAACCCCTATGATAATAAGAAAAGGAAGGGGGAAATCAACAAGCAGCAGTGACAGTAAGAAGAAAAAAGAAAAAGGGGCATACCATGTGAGGATGCTTGTCTTGATCGACAACCCTAGTGTTCTCGAGCTTGATATTGAGGTATTGATCAACGGAGTGAAGGGTTCCTCTGATTGCCAAATCATTCTTCAGCTCCACCGTCACTTCTCTTCCCACCAAGTCCTTGAAATACGAAAAGAACAACTGCAATCCCCAACCCCCCAAAATAAATCAGAGGGAAGCCCATTGGAAAATGCATAAGGGAAACTCAATTGAATTAAAAAGAGAGAGAGTTTTGGGCGAACAGAAAACAAAAGAAAAATTACTTACACGAAAAGGAGGAAAAGGAAAGAAGAAGATTACCATGATTATGATTCTTTTGCCCAAAAAGAGGAGAGAGTTTTCTGTGTTTTGATGGAGCTGAGTCTGTCCTTGGCTGTGCTGAAGAGTACAGCTGAGCTGCAAAACTTTAACTAATGAATCAGTCCATTACGTTGCTTCATGTTTGTTTATCCCTACTTCTCTACCGGACTCGACTCGACTACAATCCAGTTACTTATTTACAGATATAACCTTCCGTCTTTCATGTTAACCTTTGCCGCTAAAGGCCGCTTACCCACCTTGATTTTGGGCTATGAAGCGCCGTCAGATATCAATTTGGGCAATGGCCTTTTGCCACCCACAAACATAAAACAAGGAATTATTTCACTTGTCCCTAAATTTGAAAATTTTAAATAAGATATTGTATGAAAATGATATAAAAAAATATAAAAATGAGATGATTTAAAATTTTTAAAATATTATATATAAATTTAATAAAAATTTAATCCATTAGTTTGAAAAATGAACAATCAATCTCAAAATTAGATTCTTTTGTCAGTAATTCTTTAATTATTCAATTAAAAAATTCGTCTAAAAACCAATCTATCTCTAAAAGTTAATATTCTCAAAATACTCACATGAAATAATATTTTATAATAATAAATTATTTTTATTTTCTCAAAATATATCAATTCTATTTTTAATAAAAAAAATTTAGATGCAACATATAAAAATAAAATTTATAATTATAAGTATGTTAATATGTAAATATACGTATAACAAAATGAATATATTAAGCATATAATATTATTTTGGTATGTAACAATTAAACAAAATAAAAGATGTAATATGGAAAAACAGATTGGTTAAAAAAAATCACAATAGGATATTTGTCAAATTCAATTTTAATTATTATCATATTCATATATATGTTAAACTTAAATTTACATGTTTATGAAAATACAGTGATGACAAACTTATTAATTTTAAATTGAAAATCATTTACAATAAGTAAACCCAAATTGAAGCGTTGAAATTTTTAAATAAAAATAATTTTTGTTATTATATATTCAATAGATATATAAAATAAATTTTCTCAAAAAAAAAAAAAGAATGAAGAATAATATAAACAAATATAATAAATTTAGCTTTGACGGGTAGTTTTATAATTTGCTTAAATTATATAATCAGATTGAAAAAGTTTGGGACGAGTTGTTCTTTTTTCAAATTAGCGGGTTTGTGTTGGATTAGACTTAAAATTAAAGGATCAGCATGAAATTTACCTGTTTATTTTTTTAAAAAATAAAAATTAATAAAAAACTTTTTATTTCGATTATTTCAAATGATATTTTTGTGGTCTTGTTAAATTTAATAATATTTTATTGTATTTTTCTAAATTTTGCATTTTTAAATTTTTTCAAAAGGTTGCATTATAAAAAAAACTCAAAAACGTTTTTAAAGATATAAAAGTTTGTATCGTCGAAATCAAATAAAAAAAAATAGTTCTTTTCTTTCTTAAAAAGAATTATTTTCCTTCATTTTATTTCTTTGCTTGAAAAGAAACATACAAAAAAAAAAATCATCATTCTCCTCCTGTTTCTTTCTTTGAAACATTCACTGAGAATAAAAAATCCTTAATTTAATTCTCAAATTTTTCTCTTCAGATTTTTTTTTTTTTGCTGTGTTTGAAATTTTCTTGTTGTTTAATCATTTTTTGATTTTAATTTTTTAGCTTCACATTTGGACAATTTTGTAATTGTCAAAATTTGGTTAATTGTGTTAATCATTCTTTATGGAGTGTCCATTTCGGAAACTAATGAATGTAACTTAAATTTTAACCAAACCTAAAAAACTTAAATGAAATTTACCTAATAATATATATATATATATATTATATAGTAATCGATGTATCGACATAAATTACATAATAATCATTTTTATATTTTATATATATTAAATATAAAATAAATAGATAGAATACCCTTTAGTATTTTATACATATTAAACATGAAATAACAAATAGAGTTATATTAATTGTCGAATCTATTTGCTTTTTTATAATTGAAAAAAAAAAAAAGAAAGAAATGTGTAAGTGAAAGTTAATGAAAATTAGTAAACACTGGCCATCTGTAATATTAGTTGCTGACTCAAAATGTTTCTTAGGACTTCAAATCCTCAACACAGACATCAGTAATCAGAGTGATACCAACTAGTAACTACAAATGTTGGAAGGTAAGATACGAAAAAACTACAATTTTCTGGAAACACTTCTCATTCCCAATACGAAGCAAACAAAACAATAGAGGCACCAAATGAACAACTACATTTACATCTCTTACAAATACACCAAAGCTTATAACACAGGAAAAATTTTTCCTAAACCTAAAGAATTACATTTTTCCTTTTTTTTTTTCTTTTAAACTAAGGAAACTGTGGTTAGCTGCTGCTACTATAGCCGTTGCTTCACCCGCCTACCATTTGCATCACTTCCATCGAGGATGGCTTCATTCCAATGTCTGCATGTAATCACTGAGTGCTCATTCACTCTAGCCACATACTCCAACAGCTCAGTCAAGACAGACGGGCAACTTTCCTTCAAGTACTCAAAACCATCAGTTTGCATTACAGCTGAAAAAAAAAAAAAACCCAAGGTTCAGTCAAGAAACATTGTTAAGAAAAACACACATCATTGACCTTTATCCAACATATGAGCAACTTTTGGTGAAACAAGAATGGTGATAATAATGGGATAAATCTTGTAACAACTATGGATTTTGACAAACTGCTAGCAAAATCATTCCTCTTATCAAGAATACCATAGAGAAAAACTTTTTGGGCTTTTGCAGCCAAAATGTTAATATATTTGTACAAGAAAAACTTGCAAAAATGTGATCTCAGTGTACCTCGTTTAATAAAAATACAAAGACCAAAATGATGGGAAAATTAGCTTAGCGGCAATACCACATTATTGTGATATAACCGTGTTCCCAAGACAACAACGAAACAAATATAACCACTCATAAATTCACCAGAAATTAATATGCGAAAATAACAAGAAACACCAAAATTTACATGGTTTGTCATTAAATTTAAGTTCATGGGCAGAGACTACGAAAAATTTCACCACAACAAAAGGATGAAGATAAAAAGTGTTTAAATATCAACACACTCACCAAAAGCCTTACCAATACTCTACCCATAGAGCTACACTGTCTAACTCAAAACTCTCTCTAAATGCCTAGTAACTTGAAGGTTCTGAACGGAACTGAACGACACTAAATAGTACCCTTAAAGTACACAACCTTAACACCTCTCTTAGTGCCTATGGCACATCTTCAGTAGGCACTAATAGTTGGCTCACACTAGGCACCTCATGGCACACAAGGCACTTGGCACTCGGCACAATTCACGGCACCCTCACTTGGCACCAATTTTAGCATGCCAAATCTTGGCACTTGGTCTTTTTGGCACAAGACTTGTGTTTCGGTGTATTAACCGAATGGCCAAAGGCCATATTTATAGTGCAAAGCTTGGCCAGCCATGCTTGACAAAACCAAAAGCTGATATAAGAATAACTAGATAGCAAACCTTTGTTGAATCAACAAAGGTAATTGGCACACTTTGGTTTATTAACAAACGTGACTGTCTTGAAGAGTTCCAAAGAATGGAGGCTTCTAGAATGGTGGCCGCAAATATTTTTCAAGGTTAGTTACGAATTTCAAACCACCCTTGGGATTGGAGGCAAATATGCCAATAAAAGGATGATTCGGTTCTTTGATGCAAGGGTGCCAAAATTGGGCTTGCCAAAATTGATGCCAAGCGAGGAGTGCCTCGAGTTGTGCCAAGTGCTTAGATGTGCTAAGAACACCAAGTATTAAGGGCCTGAAAATTTGTTATGTTTGATTGCAAGAAGAATGGTTGCATATATCATGAAGGCTCAGGCATAATTGCACTACATGGATGATGAAATTTCTATGCGAGACCAGCTATGACAACATTTAGCAGTGGCAATTATGACTTGTAACGTTACAACACATCTTAAAAATGTCAAACCTATTTACTTTCAAACCAACTACTCTATGTGGCTGAAAAGCAAGGGCCCAGAATAAAAGAGCTACAGCATTACTTGCTATGCTTCAATATAGACTCAATTCTTTTCCTGTCACCTGCAGTGGGCATTCCTTAATTTCAATGATTTCCAATTTAAGAAACAAAGAACCTTGGGGCTTGGTCCAACTGATAATTAGCATAACCAATAACACTTTTCCTACTAAATTAATATTTATACCATAGGAAACCCTGATGCAACATCAATGTAAATATCTCAACAAAAAGACTCACCTCTTAGATTTTCAGGCATCGCAGCAAACTTGAGACACACAGCTTTCAGCTGGAAACAATGGTGTTGCTCAGCCAACGCTAATGTAGTTGCCACAGTGTTAATAGCAACATCCTTACAAAGATTGGCCTCGCATAGTAATTGCAGCCTATCTAGTCCATACCTATCTGCAGCTGCAAGTAGGTGCTGAGACATCAATGTAGAGGCCCACTTTGAGTTAAGTCCAGTGAGCTCTTGCATGTCAGGTGGGGAATCCCAGTATATAAAGTGAAGTAGGGCCTGCAAAGGGCAAAATTGGGTAAAGAGGATACCGTATCAGTAATCATTACCATGTAATGCATAAACATTTATAGTCATCTTGCTTCAGCTTGACCAGTAAATGATGGAAGACTTCAAACAAGGCATCAATTTGAAGTCATGAATATCATGACTTTCATAAATGTAAAGAAATGCACACTCATAAGTTAAGTATTATCATGTACATTGACCACCCACGTGTATTATATGAAGCAATTAACTAAAAGCTTAAGACAGTACATGCCACAATCATTACTTCAAAAACATAGCACCAACCACCCCATCATATAGTTTCTTTTGAGAAGTTTTCAAAAACTAATCATTGACATTAGGCTTGCTATCACTGGCAAGTTGACATCATGGATCCAAGGCCAGTTCACGTTATCCATGGCAAGTTGACAGCTTGACGCCATACATCCATCACCAGTGCCTTACCAAGGATAAGAAGTAGCGTGAGTTTTTATCCAACATAAGAAGAGGAGATATCATACTGAACCTTAAAAACTGGAGCTTCCATATCTTCAACTTTTATTTGCTTTGTATTCTGATCCTTCATCGGACCAAAAAGTTGTGCCCTAAACACAGGTGAACGTGCAGCAAGGACCAGCTTGTGGGCAGGAAAGGCTTCCCCATCAACTTCAAAGCTTACATCCGTTCCCTTTCCACTTTCTAGTAGTTTCCCAAAATGATGAGTGATGTTTGAAGGCGGAACAGATATAGAGTAGATCTTAGGACCCTCTGTATGTGACTTAACAACACCAACACTACAGTGAACGGAGAGGCAGTTGTCTTTGAGGTAGTCTGATTGTTCCAGTAGAGTTCTTTTGAAAAATCGTTTATATCCCCTGCAGCAAATCAAACTAATTACTTCACTACTCATGAAAGTTTATCATATACCATGAAAAATAAGGAAAACAAATAAATATGCTTCTTATTTTTGTTCATTTTCTAGGGGAAAGACTCGAGAAGGGGTCAAACCCTGGAACTTAACCAATTACCTAACAAACATAGGAAGCTAAGAACGTATTGTATAGTTAGTTAGGATCAGACTCATAACATATGAGGAGTAAAGTAATCAAGAGTTACATACTATGGAGTTATTAAATTAGGCTAGCAATAATGTTGTTGCATATGTCTCCAATGGATCGTGTCTTACTTGATTGTCACCAAATGCTTTATGATGACATAAAATACACAAGCTGCAGTAAGGTTAAACCGTAGGGATTGACATTGAGCACAATGGAAAGCATATGCAAGCATAGCTTCAGAAAACAATTCTTCTAGACAAACAATCAAACTGGAGGCAAAATACAAAACATTAAAAAAAAAAAAAAACCCTTAAAACTTAAAACATTAGCCTCAAAACACATTTAGTGACAATATTCAATAAAAGTAACTTTTATACAAATATAATCTCAAAATCTAAAAGCAGACATATGACCAAATAATTGACTTTTTCTTTCTTCTCACTAATCCAAACAATCCCTCCTGAGAACCATACACATAATTTTAAAATATTATGTTTCTTTCAAAATGAACTTAAACTCACAGTGTCCTGGAATTTCAATGAGACGAGGAGAAGGAAAGGAAAAACAAAACAATAATACTAACAAAGGAATAAATAACCTAATAATAGCAATGAAGGTTAGCCAGGAACTGAGCTAGAGAACAAGTAATGGGCAAAACATATTTCATTTGCATGTACCACAGAATACTGGCTGACAACATTAAGCGCAATTACCAATTTTAGCATAATTTTCGTTCATTAATCTAACAACCACCCCGACATCTTTTGATGTAAAAGACTATGTAACCAGAAAGAAGCTCATTACTCCAAATCTCCCCTATTTATGCTGCTATTTTATGTACTATATAGGCAACACACTTGTTATACAAACATCTCAGCCCCCTAAGAACCAATATAAAGCTCAATAAATGAAACACAAAAAGGCCCAGGATCCAGCCCTTAAACAACAAAGTCAACCTGCGACTTACAAATTATGACACAAGAACCACAAGCAACTCATCGTGCAGTTCTTAGTATGCAGCAATACACTTAAACCTCATTAACTCTTACAACAGTAGAACCACGATTAACGCATCAAACCCCAAAATCCAACAATACTTCAATCAACCCAAAGAAAATTCGCCATTGTAAAACCCAAAAAACCACCCCGTAATTCCTATCAAAATATCCAAATCAAAGATCAATTCAAAAAAAACAAAAAGAAAAAAAATAGAAACCCTTACCACATGCTGCCGCGATACTTAAGCGTATAGGGCCCACTCTCAAGCGTCCTCCCAAAATGGCTATGCACCTTATGCCTCTCTTTCCCGCTCTGATCCAAAAGTGTGAGCTCAAAAAGCGCCCTAACGTCGGTCCCCTCGCTCGCCAAAGCAATGAACAACGAAACGTAGGCGGCATTATCTTCGGCGCTCTTCCCGTCCGGATAAAAATAGATCGCCCACAAATATCCACCCACCATGAACGTGTCGGAAGCAATGTATTTGCCGATCCCCAAACCTTTAGACAGCGAATACCCCGTGATTTTGAACTGGTGAGACCCGTTCACCGTCTCCGTCACCGACGTCGACGTCGTGGTGGCGCTGACGGAGGAGGCCGAAAACGAGGATGGCTTCGATGTTTCCCGTACAACCCTTCCCATAACCCCGACCAAGAAAATTCCAAGTTCCTTAACCTGAAACTGGGGCTTTAAAATTGAAAAGGAATTTCTCGGGAAAAGGGAGGGTTTGGCTGAGAAAATTTGGGGGTTCTTTTCTTATTCTGTTATTCGGAGGATTAATTTCTAGGGTTTCGGGGAGAGAGAAATGGGAGAAGCGGGGAAATGATGAATGATCGAAGAGGATGACTTTACTAGCATACGTAATATTAATAAATAATGAATTTTATCAATGAATTTTAATAGTTCTCTTTCTTTTTCGTTTTTTGTGGAAAGTAGAATTTTTTATGATTTTTTTTAAAATATTAGTGGATGGAAAGCTGTGAAGCGTTTTTCTGACGATGATTTTAAGGAAATATTTAACAAAATTTCTTAAATGAAATTTGTAAAATTTTTAATTAAAAATAATTAAATTAAAATTAATAGATTAAAAAATTTTATTATATAATCAAATATATAAAATTTAAAATAAATTAAATATATTTAATATATTTTTTAAATATTTATTTTAAGTAAAAATTTTTGATAAAATTTTTTGTCCTTGAATAAATATTTATTAAATTTAAATTATAAATAATATTTTAATAATTATTTTACATATTATTAATTTTTTATTAAATTTTATTTGTTTATCGATTTTAATTTTTTTATTAAAACTTTAATTAAATCATAATATTAAAAAACTATAAAATTTTTATTTAAAAATTTTCATCTAAATTTTTCTTGCTTTTTAAACAATGACATAATAGATGTACTTTGATAGGCATTTTAGTAATTTTGCATTACTCTTTTTTTAAATAAAAATGACAATAAATTTTGTGATTTAAAATTTTTGAATATCATATTTTAAATATGATTGCATGAAAATTTGAAAATTTTTTTTTAAAAAAATAGAAATAAAAGAAATTTAATTGTTATAATAATAAAATATATACTCTTAACTTATTTTTAATGATAATGACTATGTAGCTTCTTTTTTATTATATCTTATAATTTGTATATTTATTTATGTTTTTTGTTAAATATATATAATATAAAAATTTTATCATAATTTATATCAATAAATTAAATATGAAATAATTTTTTATTTTTATTAAATTTATATATAATTTTTATTAAAATTTTAAATAATACTATTTTTATTTATTATTATTTTATTATATTTAAAATTATCATATATATTATATTTATATTCTTAGAGATGTGCATATTTGTGGTTAAATATGCATATGTTTTATTTTCAAATATTGTAAGACCAATATTATAAAATACTATGCATATTTGACAGTTCACACAATGATTTTTGATTGATAATAAAAATATGTCGGAGCAGGCTGAGCGGAGGAGGTCAAAGGGTCAAAGGGGACGGAGCCCTGACGCCTGTGGGGTCCCAAGGGCCTTGAGATTTGAGACACGACAACTATAAAAGGACTGACAAGAAACTGGGCGGGTAGGGACCAAAGTTAGGTGAAGTGAACTGATGATGATACCACGTCCGAGTGGACTGGCTGGTCTCAGGGCAACGTACGCTGCACATTTCTCAGTTTCTCATAGATTTCCTACCAAAATCATGCTGCCCTCCCATTATTATTTTATACTTTTTTAAACTTAATTGTGTTTGATGCATATCATATAATATAATAAAGATAAAATGATATTATAAATATAAATAATAAAAAAATAAAAATATTTTATTTTATATTTGATATTGATAAAGATTAAAATAAAATAATTCATTTATTAATCAAAATTATTTTTTTTAAAATTATATAATTTAAATTATTAATGTAATTTTTAAAAGTATAATAAAAAATAATTTTAATTTTATAGATTAAAAATAATTTTTTTATTTTGATAATAAAACATATAAGTTTAATCTTATAAATTAAAAAATAATTTTTTCTATTGTAAGAAAATTGAATTATTTTATATCAAAAAAATGATTATTCTCCTTATAATCTATCATTTTTAAATATAAATAAATATAAATATTATTATTTTATCCTATCCATCAACTTATATACCAAATATAACCTATATGTATTTTATATAAAACTTATATATTATAATTTATATTAGTACAAAAATACTATTTTTTATTTAATTTATATATTTTGTTAAAATTTTAATTATATTATATTTATATTTTTAATATAATTTTGTATATCATATTTTAAATAATCAAAGGACTTTTTTTCTATTTTATTTGATAAATTTAAAACAAACATTCAATTTAAAAATAATTGATAATAAATGAAATAATTTTTGTTATATTTATACGTAGGTATCAGTTGTCCTCACTTCGAGTTAGGTATACATTAACCCAGAGGCCTCCGGTGGTTTGGCATATTTACTTTTGAGTGAAGAATGCAGTGAATTGGGATCCTGAAAATCCTAACAACTCCACCATGTATAGAAATTAAGTCTTCTGAAAAGGAAGAGAATATGTTTGTTAGATATTCAATCTTCCTATAAATGATGGTACCATCAAGAGATGGTGACTAGTCATGTACCCTAGGCTGAAAAGGTTTTTTTTAGGTAAAAATTTAATATCAAATTCAATTTAAATCACGAGAATAAGTAAAAGTATTGCGAGAATAAAAATTTAAAATTTAAGTTTCTCGAATATTATTTTTAAAAATGTTATATTAATTAATTTGATTAAATTTTGAATTTAAATCTTCTAAATTTGACTCCAATTATTTACTTATTCCTTTTTTATAAGTGCATATCAATGAATATATAGATATTATTATTATTATCATTATTTTTTGAATTTTGTAATTCCATAAATGAGGTTAATGTAATGGTACATATTTCATTTTTTTAATTAATTTTCTGTTCTTAGATATATCATAAGAGACATGTATCATCTTATTAATTTTACTTGTGGAGTTAAAAAATTGCACTGATAGTGTATGTAATAATTCTTCTTGTTTTAATCTCCAAGGTTGCATGCGTGTTGCTATCACAATTTCATTTTAAGAGTGTAATTTTAATTTATGATGAAGTATTTTTGTTAGTTCAAGTGTAAATAACAATCCAAGAATAGAGTAAATTGAATTATTTTCAAAATTTTTTTCAAAATTGACTTTCAATAAATTTGAATGAGAAATTCAAATTAATAAAAAGTTTTATGAAAATTTGATGAGATTAACACTAATAAAGAAAATTAAAGCAAATATAAATAAGAATGAAAATAAAATAGTAGAGATAGACAAATCAAATATAAAAATTTATATAGATTCAATCATTCTTCGAAGGCACCTAATCCACTCTTTTAGCTCTTCTAGTCAAACTTAATTCATTAATTGAAAAATCTTTTGTAAAATACAATCTCTATCTTTCAAGGTCAAAATAGAAACCTTTACCTTTTATAGAATTCTACCTAATTTTATCAATTTTATTGAAGTGGTTACTTCACCCATTAACTAAAAAAGCGCTTTTGAATACAAAAAAATTTGCAAACTATGAAATACCTTTCAAAGGTTATGTGTTTATCTAATTTAAGTACAAAGAATGATAAATAAAAAACAAATATAATTTGGATACAAGAATGAGAAGAATTAAAGCACTAATCTTTAGAATGCTCTTAAATTCTTGAGAAAATGAATGTAAGGCTTGTTGGTGCTTGCTCTTTTACTTCATAAGTGGGTTGGAATGCCTAATTCATAGAGGAAATGAGTTTGAAGCCATTGAAAAATATTGGGAAATGAAAATGTATGTTTTTTTCTTTTCAAAGTAGTCGTTAGAAGCTATTAGGAGCGAAAGGATCAAGCAGGTCTATTAAGGAATCAATTGACTTTTGAATTTCGTTCAAATTTTGACCATTGCAAGAGAATGAATCGATCCATTTTGATAATTAATTCATTTTCATAGAGGATCGATCCACTTTCAAAATGGATCAATGCATTTTATAAGGGATTGATCCATTTTTACAAAATTTGTTTAAGGGACATTTTGTATGAATAATGCATCATATGCTTTCAAATAAATCTTCTTTTACACTTTACTTACTAATTTGATCATATCTTGAGTTATACAACTTCAAATCAAGATCCGTTTGAATATTTAAAAACTAGACTTAAGGGGCTTTCTATCCATATAAAATTTATCATTTGATTCAATGTATAAAAATTATAATATATTTTCAAAACTACCTTTTGTGCAATTTTTAGATAATATGTATAGTCTTTAGCAAAAATTCAAAATTTTTTCTTTGAAAATTTAATTGATTTTCTTAGAAAACTTGAAATTGTTAAAAATATATTTTAAGCTCTTTAAACAATTTTAAAAAGTTTTATATCATAATTTGAAATTGTCCAAATAGTTTTTATGCCCATATATGCTTAAAAGCAAGATTTGATCTTTTAAACACTAAAATCTTTTAAAAACTTGCACTTAACATATCAAACATCAAAACCATTGCATATTAATCAAGTTTCCTTGTTTAAGCAAGTTTAAATTAGTGAACTTAAGATATTGGAATTCATTTTTCACTAAAAAACTTGTAAAACAAAATTTCACATTTAAATGCTTGACTTTTGCAAAACTAATTTTCAAGACAAAACCTAAAATCTTAAAATCATTAAACTTTGTATACTCTCCATAAGTTTGTACACAAATATAAGTACAATCAAACAAACACAAACCTCAATTTCACTAAGTATATCAAACATACAACACTAATATTAATCATTTAGAGTAATAATTATATTTAAACACATATGGTCCTCAAAATTAAGTATAAATATATAGGCGGTTAAGCCTTAAGACATAGGATGATATGAATACATTCCCTTATGGCAGAGCTATGTGTAGGGATGTCAATGCGGTGGGTAGAGCACTTCCTATCTTTATCCCCAAAATTTAAAATTTTCTTTATCCTTATCTCTATCATCGAATTCGTAACTTGTCCTTATCCCCACCCCCACGAGGACTAATCGGTATGAATAATTATCATACTCATAATTTAAAAAAAAAACATTTTAATATTCTTTAAAATAAGTAAAAACTTAACCATTCACAAGTGAAAACAAAAAAAAATTCATAAACACTAATGCAAATACAAATATAAATCACAAATATTTACCAAATAAAAATCATAAAAAAACTTTAGTAAAAACAACAATTTAAATGATATTATCTTGAGAATCTTGAGAAGTTCACTTGATGGACCCATCAATTCAACATAAAATAAAACTATTCAAAATTAGATAAAAAGAACAATTATGATAAGTAAAATAATTTTAATAGTGTTAAACGATTAACTT